GCACATTTTGTGAATCAAGATGTAAATGACTGTATCATCTTTTTCTCCTCGGAAAGAGAGAGAAGCTATGAAAAACAGAAAAGCTCAGCCCCAAAGTCACAAGGGACTTGACAGAAGAATGAGCAAAGCTGAGAGCCTGGAGTTCCTGAGAGCAAACCACACCACCTGTCTCAGCCTTGGTGCACGTCACACATGGCCAACCTCAGTGGGACCCCTGATGAGTACTCTGTCCCTAAGACTAGTGGACAAGCAGAGGAGACCAAGAGAACTCAAAGGAGACTTTGTGGAAGAAGGGGCCAGGCCCGAGCTCTGAATAATGAGAGGAAGGACTCAGCGTGGACAGAAGGAAGGCTGAGGGTATTCTCTCAGGAGGACGTGTTCACTCTCCAACTCTCCCTGTGACTTGAGGGTCGTAGATCAGAACTTTACCCCATTTACAGAGCCACATATTGCTGTGTTCCTTCTAGCACTTAGTGTGACAGATATTAACTCATGGAGAGGTGGAAAAATCCTGCTGCCCTAACAATAATCATGATAATAATGATAATAATAATTGCTTACATTTATTAAGCATTCACTATGGTCAGGACCTGTAATGCGTGCTTTATATTAAATTTTGGTTAATCTTCACAGTAATTCAATGAGGCGTGGTCCTTATTATACACATTTTACAGATGAGGAAACCAAGGCTTTCCAGCAAGAAGGTGGTAAAATTGGGGTGAGAGCACAGGCACCAGAAGTAAGAGCAAACATTGGGGTAAATAGGAAAGAAAAGGGAAAAGCTAGAGATGTGGAACCCAGTGCACACAATCCCAACCCCATCTGCTTTCTAGAACCAAGGCAGGCGAGATGGAGAATCACCTATTCCCTCCCCATTAAAGGAGCAGCAACCCCTAGCAGGAAAGTCTGAGGTAGGCATTTGCCAGACAGGCCCATGGAGGAGAGCAGACTTGATGATCACCTGTTACGTTTGTGTCTGCGATAATAATTTCATCCACATACAGCAAGCCTGTCTCCTGAGCCAGAGGCAGGAGGTCGATCTGGTGAACCAGCACTGCGGGGTTCGCCAGAGGGGGCTGGAGATCCCCAGAGCGACGCACACAAGTCTCCCAGAGGTCAGTGCAGGTGAACCGCCAGCTGAAAAACAGCCCCGAGTGGAACTGGGCCCCTCAGTGAGCACCTGCAGTCCTCTCCAACCAGAGCCCTCATTCTCAGAGCTGGGGGCCTGAGGACCATACAGCCAAGACAGAGACTCATGAACCCCTGCATCTGAACGGTCCTGTGTGCCACAGGTACAAACACCCCACCCAAGATGGGCTCAGCTCCACTTTTGATACAATACTAGTGAGTCACTTTTAAGTCAGTCTTTCATTCATAACACTCAATGTCAGCAGCATTTTCGAATTACAATTTAATTGTGTGTCTTAAACAGTTTGTGTGTTAGGCTCTAACCACAGAGAAGATTGATACCCCTGGACATTACCAGACTCGTTTAGGTTTAAAACAACCTACA